GTCTGTGAGTGAGGATTTGGAACTTTTGGGAATCAAGAGAAAGCAGAAGCAGAGGGTTCGAATTCCTCTGATGTTCGAGATGACAGCGACATTGAAGATTTTCAGGTTTTCTGCAGGGAAATGGAAAATCCTAAGGTATTTAAAGCTCTGAAAGATGAAGAAAGAATACAAACTGAAAATTCAAGAAAAGCTGACGGCATTTTGCATGCACAGATGGTTGAAAATCAACAAGGAGAATCTCATAACACCTGCGGGAAGAAAGAAAAGAGATCTGCTAATGTTTCACCCCACACTTCAACTGAAGATACATGTGATGTTGTTAATTCGGAACTTGAGGAGGACTGCAAGAGTGAGGAAGAAGAGCATAAGCATTCAACTGGGTCTGGATCCACAAATGACGGGATTCAGCTTGACATGGATGCTAAGATCCCTGGTAAACATGGGAGGCGTGTCAGAAGAAGAAAGAGAAGAAAGAAAGTGCCACTTAGGAATTTTAATTCCTCAAAGAAGTCATTATCTCGGGAAGGCACCTCTTCTCTAGGAAACAACGGCAGCAATTATGATAAGAAAGTTATATCCCAGAATTCAAGTCCACCTCAAGAATCTGGAAAGAGGTTGTGAGTTTTTGAGTCTTGATTAAGGAGTTTGAGCATATTCTGCTTTTAGGATATAGTAGTTTTACTGGAATCCCTAATCTTGTTTTACTTGCAGAAATATTTCTGGGGAAAAGCGTAAAAGATTACATTGGACAACTGAGGAGGAAGATATTCTAAAGGTCTGTATGCCTAGTCATTTGTTTTCTTTGCACTGACTTTGTTACAGATATCACATTCACATTGTGAAATGGTATCATCCCTTCATTGCATTTGGAAAAAAAGGCCTATTCAAATTTCCATTTATATTATTTTCCCTTCAAATATACAGATTCTTGGAGCTTTTCCACTGAAACTTTGTTAAGGTTTATGGTGTTTGATTATTCAAGATCCTGAGATAGGTCATGTTGTATTAAATATCTTAGCATAATCAGGTTTTGGTAGTGTTAATTACTCCCAGAAAACTCTCATCTTGCAGGAGGCAGTTCAGCAATTTGATTGTACACCAAAAAAGAATCGTCCTTGGCGCAAGATTTTGGAATTTGGTCGTCATGTATTTCACGAAACTCGCACTCCAATGGACCTTAAGGATAAATGGAAGACTGTGACAAGAAAAAGCCTCCACTACTAGGACCCATGTTATTTTGATCACTTGTATATAATACGAAATGTTGTTCATCTTTAATTTTGTCGGAAACTAACATATTTTGCAAGGGCAAAGTGTTTTCACCATGCTGCAACTAAATGATGTTAGCATTGCACCAAAATTGTTCACGATCATCTTTTGCCTGGACAACTTATGTAACCACAAATTTGGAATGTCCTTGGAAATCTTTGGGTGAGAAAGCATGAGTTGTTTTATAGTTTTTGGTTGGGGTGAAAAGTGGTTTAGAATCATGTTGGCATTGGGATGCAGCTTCATGTTGCCACCATCCTTACTCGTAAATTTAGTAACTGAATAGTTTTGTGTGTTGTTCACTTAATATTGTGCTATAATTAAATGTGATATAGAAAATTGCTTAATTATTATAAAATGTTAAAAAATTTATGTAGAGACATCATGTCTCTACAGTCACCATGGATGTCCCCTTGACAGGTTGAAAGCTTGGAATGTTTTGATCCTGGAAGTTGCATGAATAGATGAAAATCTTGGAATTTTTTGATTGTGGAAATTGCATTTGATGAGATGACTAACTCCATAATTTGCTTCAAATATTTTCGGATAAATATAACTTAATATTGGTTATGGAGAAGTTTGCACTGTCGTTGCTGAACAAAGTATAGTTCAACATATGACAGAATCTTCAGCCAAAGAGGCTTAAGAAGTCAACTGCAACCATGGCAGCAAGATATTGACATGTCTCACTGCAATAATTTAACGAGGGGATGAGGACATGGTTTCTTTTCCGGTTTGCTTATTTTTATTTCCTTGGGTCCATGCTGATCACTCGTCAGTATCTTTTCCAAGATAGAGTTATCAATGGAGTTACGGATTTCGAAGCTTAAAATTTATTATCACAAGTCTCACATCTACAGGATTTTCGCCTGGTTCAAAATTTCGAGTGTTAATAGATTGATTAGAAATATTATCATATATATAAAATATTAGTGTGTGAATGAGTCTAAATATTTGGTAAATAAGAAATTTAAAAAGTAAAGACTCAAGGGACAAAAAGAAAACAACAAAAGTTGAGTTTGAGAAATTTCATGACTTTTGTTTGCTTTCTCCTCAGTCTCCATCTGCAACACACACTTGTTGTCATGAGAAGTCATGAGTTCCTTCCAAACTCCAACACATTCTCTCTCTCTCTCTCTCTCTCTCTATATATATATATATATATATATGTATACATATTATATATACGTATGTATTCTTCCTCGTCCTCCATTACCCTAAGCTTAAGTTCCTATTTTACTTTTCCTTTTTTGGTTTTCTCCATTGTTGGAGATAGATAACCCAAAGCAATGGATGTGTTTATTCCCGAGGAGTATGTTGTTCGCCGGAGACTAGAGAAAAAGGCAGCTGCCATGGCCACAAAAACCTCGGACCAGTCTAGCAGGAGAGTGGAGATGAAGAAACAAGTCCGGACGGCAGACAAGAATGAGTATTTTGTCATCGGTTGCCACACTGAAATTATAGTTTTTAGTTGCTTCTCTGCGTAAGAGTTGCATATGTACAACTAATATCTATATGTTTATATGGTTAAAATATTTGGGCTTTTGAATGTGATCATGGCGGTGCATTCTCCATATAAATCGGAAACTGGGTTCTTGGCTTTTTTCTCTTTTCTTTTCTCTCTCTTCTATCTCCCAAATTATCAATTGCGATATTTTCATGCACTAAAGAAAGTTAACTTATTCATATTAAGAGCATAAAATTTGGCAAAGAGAGTAAACAAGTGAAAATAAATAAAGTTGTAATTCAAGAACAAGTTTACAAGATAACATACATAATGACGAAATGGGATCCATTAATTACTTCTGCTGATCCATTTGGTGGACAAGAGATGAAGAAGAAACCAAGTGAATAAGAAAGTCAAACAAATCAGTGGTGATAACAGCTGATGCAATATCATGTTTATCAAGTGTCCTTCTCTTGGTTTGCATGGTAACCTTCCAAGATCTGACTGTGAGTTCTTGAATGAACAGCTCACAAGCCTTGGAGAACACAATGGGTGCCTCCCCTGATATCATCTTCACTTCATCATCAGATTTCTTCATGATCTTCTTGATCCTCGCCAGAGGCAATGAGTGCGGCCCGCCTAAATGAATCCCAGAGTATACACCAGCTTGCCTCATGCTTCTGCGATCTACTTAATTTCTTTTTCTCAAAACACAACTTATAAGGGGACTTGGGAGGCCGGCTGCCGGCTAAAACCCAATTTAATTATTTCTACTTATTTTCTATGATTAAAGTCTTCTTTTGGTACGTGATTCTCAATATTTAAATTGTTTTCCAAAAATCTTAATAATTCATTCACCAACAAGAACGAACATTGAGAAGCAAACTTTGGAAACCATTCTGCTTCACTGTTGATTCCAAAAGAGTTGAGCATGATTTCACAATATTCTCAAACAGATTAAGCTGACATGATGGGTAACTTGAACCATGTCATCATTTTGAGCTTAAACATGCTGAGGAAAGAAGCTAAATGGTTCATGAACAAATGGAGATTAGTCCAGTCTAATATTTGCTTGGCGAACATATTTCTCATGTGTTTTCCAATGTCCCATTCGAGTATTCCTCACCCACACCACTAGGCGTCCCATTTGGTAGCCTGTTTGTGCTCGTGGGATTTGAGTAAGGCGAATATGTGGAAACAGGGCTGCCTCGCGAGTACCGGTTCTGTACAGCTGTGCTACTTCTTGTTACCTTGAGACGAGCCCTTCTGCCCTGTTGTCATTTACAGAAGAAAAACAATGATCAGAATCAGACACATAAGAAACTCGACGATATAAAGAACAGGTGCCAAGGAAATGGGGTTTCAGTTTTGCCATTCCCCAGCTAATTGCCATTTTCTAAATTCTAACATAAGTTACAGTAAGAACATTGATCTAACCATCAAAATAGAGAAACAGCAAACACCGTAAGGCATAAGGCATCAAGGTCACACATACCTTGCCCATACATTTCTCCAAGTGAGGAGCAAACCTTCCCGCCATGATTGATCTTCCACAGTTCATGCACTCAAATATTTCATTGGCCACTGGAGGGTGAGTTTGTCCAAATATGTCAACCACATACTTGGCATTAGTTTCTCCACTATTACTGGAATCAGCTACCCTGGCACGAGCTTGTGATGACAACCTCACCTCTTCTTCCTCTTCTTCCAGATTACAGTCAAGTCCCAGCCTTGCAATCCGGTGACACTCAGATGCAACATCAACAATAATGGAATCTAGGAGATCACTGAAAAAATGAGAAGAAAGCTGCAAGCAAAACCCAGGAAAAAAGAAGAAAACTGTGAAGAGAAACTGTTTGAATTCCATTATTTGCACAAACAAGCGTTTCCAATTAACCATTGAGCTATCATCAACTGACACATCTCACTCTTGTCAGCATTGATTAACTAAAAATGAACAAGAAGGAAAAGAACATGATTGCAGAAAAACATGTTCAAGTGCGATAAACTATTTCATGATTTCTCAGCAAAGTCCTAAACAAGTAAACATCCACTTCTGTCTTTCACTTTGGTACACAATACATATACAAATAAACAGTTTGCTCCCTTGCTCTATCCCCAAGATTAATCAGGAAACCTTAAAACTTGGTTTTGAAGGTTATGATCTTTATCTCATTACACAAACTCAATATCACCAATCATCTACAGCTGATGGGTCAGTTCCTATAGCAAAATCCATAACTCAGGGTGAAAAGGAAGAACAGTAAAAATGAGAATACCTGAGTATAAGAAGACATATTGTCGTCATTTGGCCCAGACATTTTGTAGTAATATACAGAGACGTTAAACAGCAAGCTTGAGGTAGACCCAGAAAAAACCTAATGAATCTAGCAAGTACAACTGCAATGTATAAACAATGAAAACTTGATTAAGGAATTATTTTCGAATAAAAGAGAAATCTTTTTTCTCAAACAAAAAAATCAAGCAAGTCTAAACCTGTACTGAAGTGAATTTCAATTTTGAAAACAAATGTTAGATGATTCATCAATTTGTAACGTGTAACAAAAAGGGAAATTCCCCTTTAATTACGATTGAAAAAAGAAAACCCAGCATCAACAAGTCTTCCCTTCATTTCTTATCCAATTCTTCGAATTAATCATATCAAGAGCTAGTCACGTGGATAATCGACCCTTTCACATTAAAAGAAATTATGCAAAATCAAGGGAAAAACTATAAAACGTAGAGAATAATCGCGAAGTTTTTAAATGCACAGAAGCCATAATTAGCTCTATCGCACCGAGTAATACACATGAGAAAACTGAAAAATCACGACTAACTCACAGATCAGAACTGGTAAATGTACATAAAGGTAGCTTACCTGTGAAACCTTGAAGATGGAAGAAGAAGGTGTCTACTGGGAAAACAGAGTTGATTGTAGAATGGACTAATGGTAGTTTGCGTCGTCATTACGTGGCGGGGGTATAATCGTCATAAAAAAATTATACAATTAGAGAAAAGTGACATGCTCTTGCAGATATAGAGAAAACGGCGTAGTTTCATATGAAGCCGCGAGTGCAGGGAGTTTTGGGGCCCATAACCCAAAATGCAGTGAGGTGCTTCTGCTGAAACTTGATTTAATATTTTCTAATAAATTCAGTAAAAGTAAAGAAGATATTTTCCAATTTCATCAAAGAGAACTTTCTTCCTCTAATTTGTAATGTTTAATAATCAGCATGAATTTGATTTGATATATTTTATTAATTATAAGCTAGATTTTGTCTCCTATTACATATGAATTTTAATTTTAAAAATTAACTATGTAAAATTTAATTTATAATTAACAAAAATTAAATTTTATTTGTATTTAAAACTTTTTTAAAAATAACTATTATATATATATATATATTATCAAAACTGTTTTATTAATTAAGTACTAAAATTTATTTTATATTTTAAAATTTTAAATAAATAACTATTACATATATCAAAATTTGAGAAAATAATAGTTTCTAAAATTTTATGTATAATTATAATTAATATTAACAGATTATTTTTATTTTTATTTAAAAACAAGATAGTGCTATGTAACTTTTTTTATATTGATTATATTTATATTTTTATTGAAGTATAAATAATTAATTACATAATTTTTTTTAAAAAAATATAACTATGATTTGCAGAAATTAAAAAAAAAATAAAGAAAAATGATCAGGTCGGAAGACTATATCTGATTTCGGATTTTTCGTTTGTGATTGTAATTTTGCATATGGTGGGCATATATCACTGTGATCATGTCTGTCTCTTCTCTACTTGTGCAGCTGGCAATGTCCTTCGCATTCCCATAAAAAAACACGTGATTTAATTTAAACTACACGAACTTTTTTCCTTTATTCTTTTTATGAAAATATTAAATCAAAACAAGAATATACACCTTAAGTACACTTGTACTGTTTTATAATGGTACATGGGTTTGTAATATCGTATATATATATATATATAATAACAATAATGAGAAAATCAGAGGTATATGCGTTCCCATGTACTGTATCAAATTCGAGAAAAACAGTAGGGGGCCATGGCCACGTTCAAGGATTAAAACAACAAATCATCTCTGTAAATCTTGTCCACTCTTGCATTCTTAATCAATTTGGAGATAGAATGTATTTGGTAGTTCACAATTGACTCCGCATATATATATAGTAAAATATTATTTGGTCATATGTTTTACACTTCGAAAAACTTACCACCCAAGAATATATATAATCAACATCACTCGACTAAGGAATCTACATATATATATAGATGTACGTATCTAACATATATCGGCAGCCAATGATATGCAGGTGTAGCTATTTATGATTCCTTTGAGTTCCCAAACAAGAAGATCACCAGGACCAGAAGATGCAGATGGGTGGAGCTACTTTGAGTCCACATGGAGAAGATGATGATCAGCTAAAGCGATTTGAATTGCAGGGTGAAATCACCATGCTAGTTATTGTGTTAATCTTTTTTCTCTTCCTTGTCTTCCTCCTCTTGCTTCCTCGTCTGAACCGTTATAGAAATTCTGGAGTGTCGGAGCCCTCTGGCTCCGGCTACTGGAGGTAATGTTCGACAATGACGAAGATGAAGACAATTATGTTGCTCCAAGAGATCAGTCATGGCAGAATAGAAATGTTCTGTACTGTATTTATATACTGTTGTACTTCAATTATTTTGTATACTAATAATTTAAAATTATGTATATGTGTTACAATAATATTAAAAATTATAATGCTTCGATGTGAAGTGAAATGGACGGAAAATTATATGCTGATTGTAATCCAATCTTAAGACGTCGGTTTGGGTAAGATGCAGAGGAGGAGAACGAAATAAAATGAAATTATTTACTTACAAGAAAATGTTAATTGGAGGGAAATTAATCCTATGGAGATGAACTGATATGGAGGGTTTCCACTTTTGACTTAATTACTTCCTACTTGAACCGTTCAACGAGCATCGTAACGAACCAAAGGAAGATCCCCCGGCTCAGCACTACTCAACTTGTGGAGCGTCACATACCCTGCAGACAACAACTGCAGCAGTCACCAGTCTGGTCCCCCACCTCACAGAGTAGCTTGCTGGCTGAACCACTCCCAAGGCGAATAGTGCCCTAGGGGCCGACTCGACACCGACCGGCTGTAGGAACGCACTTAGTCGGTATTCATCTACGAGAGGCGCACTCGTGTGCCTCTCCCTTGTGTAAATATTCTCGGGTAAGAAAGCAGAAACCTCACCTCTTTCTGTTGCTGAACACAAACCTACTTTAGATCCAGGAGAACATGTAGATCTATTAAAACTAAAAAATGGAATAAAAATAATTCAATTAAAGAAACAAATTATATTAGTGTGTGAAAGCTAATTAAAAATAATAGTCATGCTATTCTACCAAACGCGGTCTTAAAAAGATGTAGTGATTAAATTGTATTTAGTTCTATCTTCTATTACTTATATACTTAAAAACTTTTATTTTCGAAAAACATCAGCTTCAACAATGACCATGTAATAAGCCCGAGTGTTTTGATGCTTATATTGATAGTACGAATGTAGTTCCATTAATACAAATGAAGATACAATATATGTAGTAGTCTAATTGTAGAAAAAATAAAAAAGACAACTTGGAGATTTCATTCTAAGTCCATTACAAATAAAATGAAATGATACTGAGTTTCTTCCTTAAAATTGAAATTGAATAAATAGCAGTTTTCAATCTCGTTCTATATTTATCTATTATTACTTTCCAAACTTTAGTTTCATTTTTACATACATGTTTATATATACAAAAATAAAAAAAGAAAAAAGAGATCTGAACAAATATCTATACTAGATAGCCCTTGACCATTTAAAGTTACTCTTTACTCAATTATGAAAAAGTTAAAAAGTATTAAAAATGACTGAACTCATTTACAAATGGATTTCAGATTCATTTATCATAGGTTTCAGAAGCTACATAAGTTAACAATAATAGTAGAACAGCTACATTTTGGATACATATATATCAACTACAAATACAGATCTACCCGCAAAAGACCCTTGTGTCAGCCGGCACAGCCTCTGCCTTCTTGCTCAGTAGCAAATGTTTTCAATTCTGTGCTCCTAAGAAAGAGGAATTCCTATTATCTCCATTAACTGCACCTTCCCTGTCTAATGGGTCTGAAAGAAAAAGGAAAAAAATATACATTTCTACCAGTATGTATTATACTGCCCTTAAAATACAAGAATCTCCTTACTACCCCTTCCCTTTCTCCCACTCATCTCCCTAATTTTTTCCTTGTTTCCTTATTGAACTTCCTCATTACTACTTTCTTTGTGTAGATGGTACTGAGATTCCCACTCAGAATACAACACTGCCCACCAATATGGAAGTTAGAGTAACTGCCAGATTGTCATCGAGCTCAGTACTTATAGGCAGTGATTCCACCACTGCTGATGCAAGAGATACAACCAAGAAACCCAGAATCATACCCCAACTCCCCTGAATATAACCAAATAATGCGAAGTAGTACATAAACCTGTCACAAGATTACTTGTTACTAGCAAAACCACTATATCTATGCATATGCATGCATTCTGCAATCATGTCTTATACAATGTAAAGAACCATGCATAATTACCCAATAGATGCTAAAAACCCAGCTGTGAACATTGCAACACTACCAGCTACTGTCTTGTTTCTGTTGTAAGGTAATTTTGTTCTGCCAATGCGTCTTCCAATTATATCGGCCATGCCTGAAACAGAGCACATGGCAAAGATACTAAAGCAAAGCTGTACAAAAATGCTGGAGAATTTAGAAGCAGGTTGCCCTATGTTTTAGATACGAAGTATTTAATCTGAGGACAGACAAGATTAGTGGTTTAATCAATATTAATATTACCATCTCCTGCACACAGGTTGCATATTGCTGCAATGGCAACGGGGGAAGTTCTCCAATATATTACGCATGCCGACGTTATTGTTGCTGCGTAGTACAAGGGTCCCTTAAGAAGTTCTCTGATGCATAGAGTAAGCTAAGAATAAAATGCAAACTCAAGAAAAGGTATCTTAATTGTTAAATGGCAAATATCTACTCTTATTCTTAATCTCAACTGTGTCTGGACGTCATTTTGGAGTTGGTGGCTCATTTAGAGATTTGGTTCCAAAGAAGACATCTCAGTACTTAAATGACCAAAGGGATCAAACTGGAAATAGTTCTATGCGTATGGATTTCAAAAATCTGTACAGGTATCGTGAATATAAATGTGTAGGTTCTTGCCTGTGGTCTCCATATCTGCTCATTGACTTGACTGTGGCTTCATCTTTCAATATTCCAAGACCCAAGACAAGCATTCGGATTATATTGACACCGGGAATAAGAGATGCTAGAATTGCTCCTCGATGCCCAGAACTGCAACAATTAGTGACTGCAGTTTTATCACAAAGATACCTGGAAAAGTTATTCAAAGATTATCCAGTCCTTGGATTACCTGAACAAGGGCCAGCAAAGCATGAAAACAAGCCCAATACTTATATGCACGAGCTTTCTGTTCAGTTTCTAAATACAAAAAGATTGACAGATAAGAAGCCAGGAGTTGACCATACTTAATAGGCTGGTTTGCTAATGAAAAAAAAGAAAAAATTCTTTCTCAGCTCAAGACAAACCATCAAAGACATTTAAGCATCCATTATGGCAAAAAGAGGAAAAAATAACTGCTCAAATCAAATTTCTTCGCTCTAAACATTTGAGTGGCTTACAGCACCCAAAACTAAAAGTCCAGCTATTGCACACAACTGCTCTCCTATGCTCCTCATGATTATACATATCTGCCATTTGGTGGGTCAAATTTTGGTTGCAGAATTGGAAAAACATGGAAAAAAAACTATCTTTTCCAAACATTAAGCTGGAGTTAAAACTTACTCAATCCCCATAAATTAAATCCGAATTACAAGCAATCAAATCAACGCACACGCAGGCATCTCATAGAAATATGCATTATTTTGAAAGAATTTAACCTGATCAAGACCTCGCCAAGCAGTTTCTTTCCATAGGCCAAGAAACGCAAAAATGACACAGCCACACACGATGGCTGCCCAGAGATCAGAGATGACCGGATTTTCAAGAAACCACATGACCCACTGTATAAACATATACACAAACCAATTCCTAAAGATGCAATAATCATAAGCTGAACTAACATGATTCAGAAACTAGTAGTCTACATATTTATAAGTGATCATTCACATGTAAAAGACAGAAAGGAAAAAGAAAACATGACCTGTAAGCTGGAAATTCGTTTGAAGAAAGTAATTTCTAAACCCCTTCTGACTACTTTATGACTCAGAATCCTTACTGGTCCTACACAGAACTTAGGGGAAACCCCAACAATCTGACTTTCGAGACATATCAGCAATCATCCTACTCTC